ATATATATATATGATGGATTTTATTAGTAGAATAGGGTAGACTCATTTACAAATACAGCTCTCTTAATTTTTATTTTTTATTTTTCATTCAAAAGGATACATTTCAAGACGTTGCCTATCACTTGAACTAGGAAATATTATAGTTTTGATTTTATGTTGTATTTTACTCTTTATTTATATTCTTTATTTGTCATCACAAATTTGATGTTTGTCCTCAAAGACATGTTTGAGTAAATTTTTCTAAAAATACTTAGAGGCGGTAGTTTATCCTGTGATGGATGTCAGCGGTTCGAATCCGCTTATCTCCAACTCGTGAACTTAGCCGATACAAAACTATATGATATCACCTAATTTTTCCGATTCGACGGTTTGATCTATGCTATGATTTATCATTCATAAACGTTGATAAGATCCTTCTATCTAGCAGCACTTTAGGATGACATAGCCTTAAAGTTAAGGGCAAGAAGAATAAAGCAGGAATAAAGAATAAAATAATTTTTTCTATAAATTAAAATTAGTTTATGTATTAGTTAGGTTTATAAGGATTTTCTGCTATTAATTTTTTTAAAATCTTATTTTAACTTATGTATTAGTTAAGTTTAGTTTGAGGAAAAAAATATTTTAATTTTTCTTTCAAAATATTTTTTAAAAAATTTATCCAAACAGATCCTAATATTATCTACTCACACCACCTCTCTCATCTTGGTTCCTCAAATAATTAAACTTTTCCCTTTTTGACCTCTTTAACACAAAAGCTCTTTTTTCCATGGAGAATGGACAGATCCACCTAGAATGCCAACGAGCATATGCATACATTTTATTTCCCATTTTCCTTTTGGACTCTGCTTCTATATATGCCTATGAATATGATCGAGGGATCTGTGCCAACCATCAAAGATTTCAGTTTTGTGAAGTTGACAGATAATGGTGGAGCAGAACGAAAACGATGTTACGAAGTTGGTTAATTAGGCATAGATGAGAGATCAAAAGTATTTGGTAGGAGTGGTGGTGGAGGAGAAGTGAAGATGTGCAACAAAATGGGGTCACTCTTACTTGGTAAGGTTCATTTGGATTCCCATCTTTGTGAGGCAGATGAAGAATTTGCTGATAAATTAAGATTAATTGTGTCATGTTCTCCAGCATTCAACATTATAAGAAATTAATGTCAATATTAGTGGTAACTAATGGAGTGTAGGAGATTTGTGTTGTGTTATTTTTATTTATTTTTTACTCTTTGAATCACATAACATCATTGGAAATAGTAAAATTGTCTCTTTAAATATTTAACACAATAACATACTTAAAATTTGAACTCTAAACTACAAAAATAAGTCAAAATAATTGTGTCAATTAATTAACAGAGAGAAGTATCGTATAAAGAAATAAAAGGTTAAAGAAAGGTTGTGTATATTTTATAAAAAAAATGTATAAGATGTTGCATGCATGTGAGTGCTACACTACAACATATTTCTGCATAGAGAAGAATCATGAGTTTGCCACACCTGCACCTTTGTCTTCTTGCGCAGCCCATTACAGTTTTGCATTATGTCAGCTACCACACTCATCAACAGGCTGCATTGAATCATATTCTTGATCCAACACCAAATACAAACCACCAGTTTTGTATTATTGCACCAACTTCAGATATTTTCTGTCTTTTTCCTTGCGTTTTAATTTTTTTCTTTTTCAAAAGGATTATATGGGAATAGGGAGGTTTGAGTTTGGGTCGATGTATTTGGTTATTTGTTGAGTTTGTATTTGAGGATTACTCATTGTTCATGGTACAAATTATCAAGTTAATTAGGGATTTTTGGACAAAATTTAAATATAATTCGTTAGATATTTTTGATATTGTTCTCTTATTATAAACAAATTTTTATCTAAATAATTTATGTTGATTATTTTTAATGCAAATTTTTATTATATGCTTATTAATATAAAACTTAATTTAATTTTAAATTGTACGAAATTAAAAGTACTTAAAAGATATCTACAATTAAATTTTTTTTTTCTTCATAATATTAACGTTTGAGCTTGAATTTTATGTGAACTAAAGTTGTTTGTGTAGGTGAAGCAAGTATACCTTTTCAATCTAGCTTTGTTAATTAACATTTTCTTTTCTATGACTATGCAGTATTTTAAATCTAATAACTTAGAACTAATTTGTATAAAATGTAGTTTCTGTTGTCAAAATTTATTTTAATAATGCGGGAATCAGTCTTGTAAGTACCAAGATGAATCCTCTGGTGATATAACATCTTTTAATTCATGCAGAAAAAGAAAAATCAATTGACTTGAGTAAAAAATAAATAATAAGTAAGTATGTAAATAATTAAATTATGATTGTTGTGTACTTAATTTATTGTTCATTTCAATAATCGATACATATAATAATATGCACATGTTATAAGGGCAACACAATCCTACAATCCTATAATTAATTTATGTACCTAATTGTCTG